AATTTCAATGGATCAGAATTTGATAATGTGGATATAAGTGGAATCAACTTGAATTAAGCTTAATTGTTTAATTGTAAATGGAAAAATATTAAAATACATGAGTTAAATAAATTAGATGGTCATTCAAAATATGTTAAAGCTGTTTATTTCTCTCCTGATGGAACTACATTAGCATCTGGTAGTGATGATAAGTCCATCCGTTTATGGGATGTTAAGACAGGATAATAAAAAGCCAAATTAGAAGGTCATTCTGAAACAGTAAATTCAATTTGTTACTCTCCTGATGGTACATCATTAGCATCTGGTGGTAGAGATAAGTCTATCCGTTTATGGGATGTTAAAACAGGACAATAAATAGCCAAATTAGATGGTCATTCAAGTACAGTTTCAATTTGTTACTCTCCTGATGGTACTACGTTAGCATCTTGTAGTTGGAATAAGTCTATCCGTTTATGGGATGTTAAAACAGGAAAATAAAAAGCCAAATTAAAAGGTCATTCTGAAACAGTTAATTCAATTTGTTACTCTCCTGATGGTACTACATTAGCATCTGGTAGTTAAGATAACTCTATCCGTTTATGGGATGTTAAGACAGGATAATAAAAAGCCAAATTTGATGGTCATTCTGAATATGTTTCTTCAATTTGTTACTCTCCTGATGGTACTACATTAGCATCTGGTAGTAATGATAGCTCTATCCGTTTATGGGATGTTAAAACAGGAAAATAAAAAGCCAAATTAGAAGGTCATTCTGAAACAGTTTATTCAATTTGTTACTCTCCTGATGGTACTTCATTAGCATCTGGTAGTAGAGATAAGTCTATCCGTTTATGGGATGTTAAGACAGGATAATAAAAAGCCAAATTAGAAGGTCATTCTGAAACAGTTAATTCAATTTGTTACTCTCCTGATGGTACTACATTAGCATCTGGTAGTTTGGATAACTCTATCCGTTTATGGGATGTTAAGGCAGGATAATAAAAAGCCAAATTAGTTGGTCATTAAAGTTATGTTAATTCAGTCAATTTCTCTCCTGATGGTACTATATTAGCATCTGGTAGTGATGACAAATCTATACGTTTATGGGATGTTAAGACAGGATAAAGTAGAGCTAAATTAGATGGGCATTCATCATCTGTATTTTCAGTTATTTTCTCGCCTGATGGTACTACAATAGCATCTGGTAGTAATGATAGCTCTATCCGTTTATGGGATGTTAAAACAGGAAAATAAAAAGCCAAATTAGAAGGTCATTCAAGTACAGTTTATTCAATTTGTTACTCTCCTGATGGTACTACATTAGCATCTGGTAGTAGGGATTAGTCTATCCGTTTATGGGATGTTAAGACAGGATAATAAAAAGCCAAATTAGAAGGTCATTCTGAAACAGTTAATTCAATTTGTTACTCTCCTGATGGTACATCATTAGCATCTGGTGGTAGAGATAAGTCTATCCGTTTATGGGATGTTAAAACAGGACAATAAATAGCCAAATTAGATGGTCATTCAAGTACAGTTTATTCAATTTGTTACTCTCCTGATGGTACTACGTTAGCATCTGGTAGTTGGGATGAGTCTATACGTTTATGGGATGTTAAAACAGGAGAATACAAAACCAAATTAGATGGTCATTCACATTTTGTTAATTCAATTTGTTACTCTCCTGATGGTACTACATTAGCATCTGGTAGTGCAGATAAATCTATCCGTTTATGGGATGTTTGACAGGATAATAAAAAGCAAAATTAGATGGTCATTCATATTCAGTTAATTCAATTTGTTACTCTCCAGATGGCACTACATTAGCATCTGGTAGTGCAGATAAGTCTATCCGTTTATGGGATGTTAAGACAGGATAATAAAGAATATCTTCAGATAACCGTTATCAAGGTATTGTAGCTTAATTTTCATCTCAAAACATTCACAACAACCTAATTCAAGAAAGTGGTATTTATTTTCTTCGTTATATAGTAAATTCTCCTGTTAATTACCTTGTCATATCAAATTAACTTAAATTTCGATCTTTAGGTGCTTTAATTTTGAAAGGTGAATTTATTAATCAATCTGGTATAGACTTGAGGACATTATTTAAACAAGGAGGAAGTTTCATTTTAGAGAACCAAATTGAACGACAAAACGATGAAAATTGATTATTATTTATAATCATTAATATAT